GCAAGAGCTATGTCATCTAAAGTAACTATATGATTAGACAGCAGATTTCTAAGGTTTTCAGGCCCAAGCACAATAACTTCAGTTTTGTCAGAGTTTAGAAGTAAGAAGTTGCAGGTCATCCAGGCCTTTATGTCTTTAAGACATGCTTGAAGTTTGACCAGCTGATCTGATTCATTTGGCTTCATAGATAAATATAATTGAGTATCATCTGCATAGCAATGGAAATTTATGTTGTGCTTCCTGATAATACTGCCTAAAGGGAGCATGTATAAAGTGAAGAAAATTGGACCTAACACAGACCCTTGTGGAATGCCATGACTAACTTCAGTTTGTGTGGAAGTGTCAGGTTTGCTCAGCTGCACCTGCCTCTCTCACCTCCCTCACTTCATTTCTCTTTTCGGTCCCTGATTACACCACCATGCACACCTGCTCCACTTCCTTTGATTATCACCAGCTGCACTTCATTAGTTCTTCCCCTTACTTATACCCAGCTCACTTACCACTCCCTTGCCAGTTCATTCTTGTTCTCAGGCCCGCTATGATGTTATTTCTATATTGCATTTGTTAATATTTGTGTCCTTGGTGAAGATCAGATCACGCTTCATGACCAGTTTATGCAGAAAACCAGGACATTGCAAACAGTGTCATGACTTTTTCTTGTGACTGTATTTCAAACTTACAAATAGAAAACCCCCAATCACAATGTACGTCACTTTATACCCACGCGCTCCTCCAGGTTTGCAACACACTGGTGATTACCTAATGGCAACAAATTTGGTTCAACAGCTATCTGTTCTTCAGCAACAGATTTCAATCCTTGGAATGTTGTGAAAATGTTCATTTGGTCCTTCATCATCATCTCAAGATTTGTGAAAATATGTTGCAGGAGTGCCAAGAAGAAAAAAAATTTGTGGATAAGTCAAACAGATTTTATCAAAATGTATTCAGTCAACAGCAGATCACAGCATTTGAATACAATAACATGTTCACATGTATGAAGAGTGGTCTGTGGTCTCCTTATCACTTGATATTGCTCAAAGGAAACAGTCTTTCTCTGGTGAGTCCTTGCTCCCATCACCTCATTCTGACGCCGCTCTCCTCCCTCTCTCATCTGACCTTTGCCTTCCATCTCTTCTGCTTATTCCTCTCCCTCTCTCCTCTTCCTCTCTTTCCACCTTTCTTCCCCCATGTCCTGCCTGCTTCTCTTTCTGTTGCATGGGGGCAGTAATCTCTTTCAACCTGAAGAAAACATGACAACTCTAGTTAAGGACAACTTCATACTTTTGAAATATGTAGCTTTATTTTGAAAGTTTTGCACCATTCAAAAGAATAAGGAAATTCTACTTCAGCATACTTTCAGCTAGCAAAACCATTCAGGTGTCAAAGTCTTCAGCATATTCAGGGCCATCTTTCAGCAATTCGCATCCACACCCGCATTTTCGACAGGAAATGCAGTTTTCTAGTTCCCGTATTGTCCCTCGGTTTCTTCAAACTGTTTCCTGTTGCACTGCAGAATCAGGTTGTTTACTCTTACAAGATCAAATGTCAGATCGTGTGAATTCATGTAAGATGCTTAGTCAGTATGGCTAAGGTTTGCTAATCTATTTTTCCCCCAGTTTTTATTTAACTAAGCTTGGAATTTTAATGTGTAAGCTGTATTTTAATGTTGTAGGTAGGCCAACTGGAGGTATCCTAATTCTACTTGGTAACCAGGATACTTTAATTTAGAAGTACTGGCAAACAGGTAAGTGATTTAAATACATTATTGAACTGTAGTGAAGTAGAATGATAGGCTATAATACTCAATCGAGTATCGAAGAAGTGTACTTAAGTGCAGTAGCCCTACAATCAGTTGATCTAAATTGGCCAAAAATTATTCAGCAACTATTTTGATGTTTGTCAGTTTCCAAGCAAAAATGAGTATTTGATGGCTTCTGCTTAAATGTGAGAAATTGATGCATTTCCTCATTTTAACGTAAACATCTTTTATGCTGAAAGCTGGTCAATTTATGGCAATTCAATTGTAGCTCGGTTCTCTTCATCGCAGAAGGAAAGAGTATGACAATGGTGTGTTGATCAGACATTTCACTCTTCCCACCGTAAGATTTGATTCTTATAGGTTCTAGTTACTGTATAAGCTTTAGTTACTTTTCATAACTTTAGTTTCCTTTAATTACTTTTCAGTTCTTCATTTTCTTTGTTTCTTTTCATACCTTTAGTTTCCTTGCTTATACATATTAAAACTGTATTGAGGACTGCTGTATTGTACTGAATGAAACTTTGGAACTGCATGCTGCAAACCCTGTAGAGACAGGATGTCTGTACCTTCAAGTAACTAGACAGCCTATTTTACATTTTAACAAAGACCTGTTGGCCTGTTTTGCACCTTCAAGCAGCCACCTGACACACACACACACACCTGGTTTAGATCACATTTCAGCAAGTAAATGCAGGCAGGGGTTGACCTGTTCACGCCAAATGGCTAATAGGATTATGAAGTGTGGAATGTTGTACCTCTGTCTAAGGCGGGTCTAGCCCAAGCAGATAAATGCAATGAAAACATGTAACTCAGGGTTCAGAGAATGGATCTCCTGCAGGAGCTCTGTCTCTCTGATCCCAGCGCTGTATGGCTTCACCTGTGCCCAGACTTTGAGTAAACTTCCTGTTGATTTTAAACAGTCTTCTCCTGTCTTCACTTCTCATGCTTCCAACAAAAGAATTGGGTAAAATCTAACACCAGAGTTTTTCTTTTTACCCCCGTTTTCTCATATGGAGCTCTTCTGGACCAAATTGTGTTCATAACTGTGTTGTTTTGCAGGCAATCACTGTGCCCACACATTTTCTCCTCTGTGCACCATGTCACCCTCTTCTCTTGCTCTCTGTAGTGCAGTGGGGCCCGGCTGCAGGCGGTACTCTCAGTGGTCTCTCCCAACATCATGATGGCTGCTATATTGGTAGTGTGGAGCATCGCGACCGCCCTCATACATATCATGGAGAAGCACACCCTGGAGAACACCATAGCCAATCAACACTGTCTGATCTGGGTGCTACTTGTAGTAGTACTGGTACTTGTAGTAGTACTGGTAATTGTAGTAGTACTGGTACTCCACACTTACATTCTCTTCAGGAGGCACTGAAGATGTGTGGAGAGGTGGGATGGGGGTGACATAGGGGAGGTTGACCAACCACAATCAGACATATTAGAGTTGAATATGGTAAAGAAATAACTAACCACACAGACACTTTAGGCACATTAGATAGGCTCATAAGAGCTGCAGGGCACATGTAGTTTTCCAAAGTAGGAGATGGTTAACAACAGATGGTGTTATAACAGCTTAAGATGTTGACTAAAATATGTCCTTAACATATTTGAATGTTTTCTCAGGTTAGCTATCTGGAATATAAAAAGATGCCCCCAGAGATATTACATTCTAGCAGCAGGAACCCTTAACTGGCCAGTTTACGATATTTGCAGTCTAAAACAGTGTGTGTTAGTACTACAGTCGCAAGATCAAGCAAGGGCACTGTTTGTAACTTCTTGGTTTTCTGCATAAATTGGTCATGAAATGTGATCTGATCTTGACCAACATC